CTGAACCCCACTAGACCCTGCTCATCATAGATCCCTTGCTAGGTTTCGCTCAAAGTCAGTGCCTCCTGAGACACCCCAAGGCTTATGGGCTAGATGCGTGGCTCTAAAACCACCATTTTTCCACGCCCAATGCCTTACAGATTGTATTTAAATATCCTCCCTTTTGATGAGGCTACAGTCTAGCTCGGCCTCCTGTCGTCACTGGGCCCTAGACCCCAGTAATTGCGCTCACAGGTGACATGTAGTGGGGGGCACAGAGAGACATGTGCTTCCCCCCACCCCCATCACCAATGTCACTGTGGTCGCCTGCGGGCAGTTCCCGCTTGCTGCCACTGTGCCCCTCAGTTTTTCTTTTTTTTTTTTCTTTTAAAATGCATTCCCTCCCTTTCCCCAACCATTTCTGACTTTTTCTTTCCCTCTCTATTCCCTATAGATAAGTATAAGTGAGCTAAGACATAGGATAATCTTCAGCCTTTTATTTTCATAGTTTCTAGGGTCGGAAGGGACCTGGGCAGATCATCTAGTCCAACCCCCTGCCATGGCAGGAAAGAGTACTGGGGTCAAACGACCCCAGCAGGTCATCTAACCTCCTCTTAAAAACCCCCAGGGTGGGAGCCTGCACCACCTCACTTGGAAGCTGGTTCCAGACCCTGGCTGCCCTGACCGTGAAGTAGCGCCTCCTGATGTCCAACTTGAACCTTCCCTCTGCCAGCTTGTGACCGTTATTCCTGGTCACTCCTGGTGGCGCTCGGGGGAACAGGGACTCCCCCAGTGCCTGTTGATCCCCCCTGACTAGTTTATAGCAGGCCACAAGATCCCCCCTCAGCCTTCTTTTCTGGAGGCTGAACAGGTTCAGGTCCCGTAACCTTTCCTCATAGGACCTTCCCTGCTGTCCCTTGATCATGTGAGTGGCCCTCCTCTGGACCCTCTCGATGCTGTTCACATCCCTCTTAAAGTGCGGCTCCCAGAACTGGATGCAGTACTCCAGCTGTGGTCTGACCACTGCCGCATAGAGGGGGAGGATCACCTCCTTGGTCCTGCTTGAAATGCATTTTGGTAGCAAGTTGTATTTGTTTTGTTTTTTCTCCTTCTTTATATTGTATAATTATGTTTATATTGATTTTTACTAGTCTATTTTACTGTTTTACTGGTACTATATGATTTAGGCCTACATATGTAAGTTAGTATAAGAAATGTCAAGTTTCCATTTTGTTTGTGAAGTCTCCATCCTGCCCCCAGGCCTGGCTGTGTAACCCATGACTCACACCTACCCCACCTATGTAACTTGGTTCATGAATGAATGGGGATGAATGTGGGTGCTTGAGAAACAATGGCAGTAGGTCTAAAAATAGCTCCCTCTGAATGACTGAACCATCAACACCAATACCTGGACCAA